CCCCCACCCCCACACATGTCAAACTCAGATCAGCCCAGCAGTGCTCTGCCCACTCTCTGACGAATGCTATGTACCCTGCCCAGTCTAATCCTTCAAACCAGCTGTTTCCAGGAATTGAAACTGAAACCTACTCCCTGTCCCAGCCTTGACAAGCAGGACTCAGATATAGCAACTGCAAAAAAACAAGGTCTGCACAGATACAAGAGGCAGAAAGGCAGTAAATCCACTCACTCGGTCAGCCAGCTCCTACTCCTTCATGACAGTGTCTTAGAAGAACTCCAGACCTCTGCAACTCATCTCTGAACAGCCTGGGTCTGCATTCCAGTTCTAGATCGCTCCATAGAGAACTGCTGGAGGACAGCAAGGTTCTTCTGGAAGGCAGCTAACATCTGGACCCCACATAATCCCTCCTCTGGAGCTGGTAAGTAAAAGCCTCGTTAGTGCATCTTGTTCACTGCCAATCTCCCACAACTTCTGTCGTTACGAAGTGAAAAGTAGAACTATGACACCAAGTCTTGGAACCTTGTGATATGGCCTATTTTGCTTAGGCAGGGCCTCTCTCTGACTGTCTTCAGTACCACACAGCACTGCAATATCTTTGCTGCTTAAATCCATCCAAGCCACCAGCATGGAGGCAAATGTCTAGCTCACCTGCATAATCCTAGCCTGTGGGTCTTCTAATAGTGGCTAAATTTGAAGAAAGAGGGCAGAGTATGCCAGCCCATATTCTCTTAGGATCTAAGATAGCACCTCTTCATTTCTCTACAAGAGAAAATTCTTAAGATCAGAATGGAGCATAGGCAATATCTAAGATAAATGTAAAATATGAAAAAAAAGAGTTGTTTTTTGTCTAGACCTCAGGGAGGGTTTTAACATAAGGTACCTTAGTGACCTTTTTGTGTGACTCCATCTAAATGTCTTATTTGCATTGGAGTGGCTCTGTTTAAGGTACCAACTCATTGACTAATCTATAAATTAACTAACTTTTCAAACACTATCTTCCCGAGCAGCTGGGCTCAGTATTGTCCCCATTCACCTTGAGGAAGTTTAGCACACTTTCCAGAGATAAATAAACATCTTGAGTTTTCTCTCAGTCTTTCCTAATAGTGGTCAAATAAGGAATAAGGAATAAATGAGGGTTTTAGAACACACAAGGATATTAGTTCACAAAAATCCTTGATTTTAGGTTCATTACTAGTCTACTCTGGTTCCCACATTTCCATGAGTCTTTCTGATGGAGATCCATAAAAGTTGTGTGATGTATGAACTACATAGAGCCCTACACAAAAAATAAAATAAAATAAAATAAAACCACTTGTAAATGTGCTTCATTTTGCATCAGGCAAGCCATGAAATTTATTTAGTAGGTTATAATAAGCATGTTTTCAATTTAATTAATTAATTGGAGTAGAAAATAGTAAAACTCAGTTCAGTGAACTAAATGGAATAAAGTAGTGCCAGAGTGAATTGTATGGTACCTACCACTTCCATGCAGCTATGGACAAGTGTGTATGAGCATGCTCTCATTTCTGTGTCTGTTGGGAGACTCCAAAGACACTGCTCATGGGGTCTGATTCTTCTTTCCAGGCCCAGCTCCCCTCTCTAGTTATATCTACTTCTTAAGCTCCCTCCAGAATCCATAAGGATCTACATTCTTCCATGGGCATCTTAACCCTTTACAGAGGGGGTGAAATAGAGGTATAATCTGGGAAGGAACCTCAAAAAAAAGGAAGTAGAGGGCATATGAGTCTCAAAAAGAATTCTATGGGTTCTTTGCAAATACTGGTCAGTGTCCTGAGCTACCAGTACTCCGAGGCTATCCACAACAACACTCTCCTGAGTGGCTCCCAGAGGAACTTGCAGCTTCACACAGTTACCCATGGCTTGTCCGCAGTGTACTTGTAATACACGGACTGCAGCAGGACACAACCATCTTAAGAGTTCCTGGATCCTGTGTGCAGCCCTGACCTGCACCACCTCCCACAGGGTCTAGTACAAGGTGTACAAGTGTGGGAAGTCCCCATCTTCAGTCACAGTGACATAAATGGTTCTGAGAAAAGCATGGTTTCCACTCATCTTCTACCCTGGTGAATAAAACTCATGGTAAAGTAAAGCAGACACAGAATGAGACCTTGGTCAATGACGGACAAGGGAGTAGAGTTGCCTTGAGGACAAGACACTACTGAATTTCACACAGCTTTTTTCTGCCCCCCTCCCCATCTCCACACACCATTGCAGAATGTTCTCTCCTCCTGGACTTTGCCTGGCTTCATTCCCCTGGCTTCCAACTTTGCCTCAGAATATACCAGCCCACCATGGTGCCTATATACCCAGCTCAGGGCACCTTGACACTCTGAAGCAGGAAGCACCAGCCAGGCCAAGCCATCTCATCTCAGGTCTGACGCAGCAGCAGCTGGAGGAGGACTCTGAATGGTCTCGATAGTCGCTGGCTTAAAGAGCTTGCAGTCTCTATGCAGGTGTGATAACACGTGACAGCAAGCTTTCCCATGTTCTCCCTCCCACTGAACTCTGGACCTCTTTGTGACCATTTGATGAAGCATCTTGGTCTCTTGATGAGTTCAACCCCAAAACAAGTTCCCAGTAGTTGGAGACACTGGGGGAATTTCCTTTACTACTGCAATTCAGTTGTAGGATGCACATAAAAGACAGCAGAACACATTGGTTTCCAAAATTATAAAATATGTGTCCATGTAAGGTGTAATGGCAACTTGTGGCAGTGAATAGATCAGGGTTTCCAAGGGAAGCCCCTCAGCACGCATCAAATCCTCTATTCAATAGGATTGTCTTCACTATACAGACAGAAACCTGGAGTCCCATTCCAGGGCTCAACCTTTGGATTCCTTACACTCTGGTTCTTAGACATGGTGATATGCCCCTATAATCCCAGCACTAGAGAGATTGAGACAGGAGGATCATAAATCTGAGGTCAGTGTGGGTTACAAAGCAAGACCCTATCTTAAAAAAATTAGAAAAAAAGACTATTTATTCACAATTCTTTGTTTCTTCACCCACAATCAACAATAATGAATACCACTTATCTAATAGGGTTTGAGGACTATTAAGTGAGATAAGGCATTCAGTGGACCCAACACAGACTCACAGACACAGGACCTTCTTGCTGTGTGGTTAAAGTGGAAGAGTGGAGGAAGAACCCGAGGAACGGCTTCCTCGGAGACCCCAATAAAACCAGAGAGCCTCACCAAGAGAGCTGAGAGTTGTGCAGAGAACATCACACGGATCTTGTCATGAAACCATCACACAAGTCCTGGGAGGTGGGTAGCATGACTTTCTGGTGCACGAGACAGAAACCTGGAGTTCCGGGAGTGTATCCATGTTACAAAATGCTGAGTGCCTCAAACACAGAATGGTCTCTAGGCCCATTTCCTTTTGTAGAGGATAAATCGAAGTACCAAGGCTGGATAACAAGGCAATGGCAAGCAGAACTGAGTTGTATTCAGATTCTATCCCGGGAGAGGCATATGTGAAAGAGGTGCCCAAGCCCAAGGACATTATGGAAGCTGGGAAGCTGCACTGTAGGATGTATCATGGTCATGAATGTGTTCTACAGATATAATGGGGTCTTCTAGAAAAACTTCCCCCTCAATTTAAGGACAAGGCATGTCTCCAGATGTGCCATTGGGTGTTCCTAATGTGACAGAAAGGCTCTATTAAAAAGGAAAAAAAAGGCCTTGGATTTTAGAATTGTTTTAATTTATTACATTTAGTGTGTGTGTGTGTGTGTGTGTGTGTGTGTGTGTGTGTGTGTTTATGTGTGCTCAAGCATGCATGTGGGGGTGGTTGGATGACAAATTTCGGGAGTCAGTTCTCTCTCCATGTGGGTTCTTGGAATTGAACTCAGATCATCAGATTCAGCAGCAGGTGCCCTTAGCTACTGAGCCATCTCACTAGCCCTGGGTAATAGAATGTTTTTATTTATGATCATGCACAAGAAGAAAGTTGAATTTTCAGAGAGGATAGCATAGTCCATCCATAAGGAGCAGCTTGAGTGTTGTAACCTTGTGATCTCAACCAGTTCTTTTCTCAGTCCTGGACTACTCCCACTCATGCTTTAATTTCATTGCAAGCAACCAGCCAGCAAGAAAAATCTACTCTTGAGTCTCTCCAATAATAATGTTAACAACAGTCATGCACAGAAATGTACAAACGTAATACTGACCAAGACATCAGTGGCAGGCTACTTAGAAATTGTTTTGTCTGTTGAAGTTGATGGGAGATGAGAATATACTAGAAAAAATGTGATCCCCAATATTTTTAAAAATGTTGTTTGAAAAAGGAAAAGGCAGGGTGTGCGTTTTAGAAAGGAATAATTAAATTATACAGAGGGCTTGCAGGTCCTCACCAGCCCGTGCTTAGTGAGGAAAGCTAACCCTCAAATTTTCAGTTGTCCATCCTGCCTACTCGCTTAGACTAACCTGTGTTCCCACTGGGTGATCTGACTAACCTCTCCCGTCATGCTTCAGAACTACAGGCCTTCACACAATGGCTGCACAAGCATCCTCCAGAGCAACATCTTCCCCTCTGTGAATGTGTGATCATCTCCTGAACCATTCTGTTTGTAAATGAAATGTCTTTGCTAGTCCCCTGGTTATGGATCTGGAACCCCAGGGTTCCGATACCCTCCCACGTCTAACACCACAACTTTTTTACATTTCTACAGGCTGAGCCACTACTCCCCAACATGGCAGAGACCTCTTACGAACCACTGAATTCGTCCTTCGCCTTTGCCACGTCATATCAAACAGCGGGTGGTATTTTACCCGAAGTCAGCAGGACCATTGAAAGGGCCTTGAAAGAAGGGAAAATGCTGGATGTGGTGTATGGGGTCAAGGAGACTGTGGCAGCATTGTCCCAAACTCCAGTGAACATCACTGTGACTGGGGACTCGGGCAACGGCATGTCATCTTTCATCAATGCGCTCCGAATCATTGGCCATGAGGAAGATGCCTCGGCTCCCACTGGGGTGGTGAGGACCACACAGACACGGGCAAAATAAGCTTCGTCCCAGTTTCCCAATGTGGTACTGTGGGACCTGCCTGGCTTGGGGGCCACAGCCCAAACCGTGGATAACTATGGGGAAGAGATGAAATTCAACATGTATGATTTGTTCATCATCATTGCCTCTGAACAGTTCAGCTTGAATCATGTAAATCTTGCCAAAGTCATCCAGAGGATGGGGAAGAGATTCTATATTGTCTGGACCAAGCTGGACAGGGACCTCAGTACATGTGTCCTTTCAGAGGTCCGGCTCCTACAGAATATACGGGAGAATATCCAGGAGAATCTCCAAAAGGAGGGGGTGAACATACCCCCCATATTCTTGGTATCCAATCTAGACCCTTTACTACATGACTTTCCAAAGCTTAGGGACATGCTGCACAAAGACCTCTCCAACATCAGGTGCTGTGTGCCCTTAAACACTCTTTCTGGCACCTGTGAGAAGATCATTGATGAAAAAGTGGCTTTCTTGAAGGAGAGAGTAGGCAATGGAGGTTCGGAGCATTCTGTTTGCATCAGGGATGATGATGACATGGAAGAGTGTGTGAAAACGTACCGACTAAAATTTGGTATAGATGATCAATCACTTCAGCAGGTAGCCCAGAGCATGGGGACGGTAGTGCAAGAGTACAAGGCCAACCTGAAGTCCCAAAACATGCACACTCTCCGAAGAGGGGACTGGAGACTGAGACTGATGACTTGTATTTTGGTGAGCGTGTTCTTTAGCATTCTTAAATATCTCCCATGCTTACGCTGCTGTGTCGCCTGGTTCAGACGCAAAAAACACAGACGCGTGCTTCAATTAGTTGCCCAGGACACCAAGATCATCCTGAAGAAAATCGGGAAAGATTCCATCAGCCCTCCTCTAACCTAGTGTAGGGGGTGGCCTGGCACCCTTCTCACATGGAAGCCAGACTGCCTTGGGTCTCTCCTGGATCCCTGTTTATCCTCTAGAAATCAAGAGATATAACAACACTCTCTATAAGGGTTTTAGATCCTTTGAGAGGAGTTTAAAATCACTCATTTCCCTTGCCTCAAATCTAATTCATTGTTCCACTGAGGGACAAGGAAAAATTGTTAAAAAATCATGGACTACGATTCTTAGATTTGGAATACAGAAATTTTGTTTTCAGTTGTTAAGTGTGATGTATATCTAAATCAATTTTCCTCTAACATAGTAAAGTCAGTTCCTCTTCATTGGTGCTTTTTTATTCTCGTTCTCTTTGCTTTACCTAGATCTCCTGTCTAAGGACTCATCTGGTACAAAGGAACACTTTGTTCGAGTTTAGAAGCACATGGAGAATATGGTAGCCGTTGTTCTTGGGATTCTGTTTAGTGCTGGGGACAGGACTCCAGACTGCATTTTGTAACATAAAAAATAAAAACCCAGACACAGATATTGAGATTCAAGCTTTAAGCTGGAGATCAAAGCAAAGCAGCAATCCAGTAGCTCTTACTTCTACCGAAGCTAAAGCAACTGTGGCTGGAAACCAAAATTGCCCCAGACTGAATTTCTGCTCCTATCTTATATACCTCTCTAGAGTTGGGATTAAAGGCGTGAGATCCCAAGTGCTGAGATCTCCTTCCTGTGAGGTGTTTTCTCTTTTAGACTGATTAAATCTTGTGTAGCCCTGGGTGGCCTTAGACTCACAGAGATCCATCTACCTCTGTCTACTGAGTCCTGGGGTTAAAGGTGTGTTCCACCACCACCCAGCTTCTATAGCTAACTAGTATGGCTGGCTATGCATTTTGATCCTTCAGGCAATCGTTATTAAATCATAAATAATATATCACCACATTATTCCTAAAGCAATGTTTTCACACATTCTCTGCCAAATACCTACAAATAATATCTTAAGAGGGAACTTGTGGACCCAGAGGTTGTAGTGCACGCCTTTAATACCAGCACTCAAGGGGCCGAGACAGGCAGGTCTCTGTGAGTTCAAGGCCAGCCTGGTCTACAAAGCCAGTTCCAGGACAGCCAGGGCTATCACACAGAGAAACCCTGTTTTCAAAAATAAGTAAATAAAACCTTGAAGTGTTCCCAAAGTTTCAGAGGTGAAAAGCCAGTTAGACTGGCCTGTACGGTGATCCTCTATGAGGGTCTCCTTCTGGATAGGGTAAGAATGGCAGGCGCACTGCCACATGCAGAAAAGGTTCATGTAGGAAACAGGAAGCCAGGCAGTTTTAAAGACCAGTCTCTCCCTTTTTATAACTAACTCTCATGGGAGAAATAACTCAATCTGAGAGAACACCATTAGTCTCTTCCAAGGACAATGACCCTAGGCACCCTTCTTAAAGGTTCCACCATTTCCATACCACCACAGTGGGGACCAATCTTCAGTACATGAAGCATCAAGACATGTAACATGCCCAGCCCATAGCAAGCCAACAGAGCAGTATATTATTAGCCCTTGACAATAATAACCAGCAATTACAAAAGCTGTGGCTTAGGAAGACTGGAAGTCACAAGGTCACAAGTGCCTGGAGGGAAGAGTGGGAAGAATCTAAGGCCTTACTTCCAGCCTGTGCTGCTCACTGGCCAAATCCCAACAGCCTCTCTGGCTTGGGGTCGGGGGTGGTGATCTTTGACATTGTAACATGACATTGTGATCTTCAAATGTGTTAGGCTGCATTCTTAGCTATCCTGGAATACAGGGAGCCTAGGGGCTGTTGCATGGACCTGCCTGTGAGGGTAAGAAGCCTTACCTGCAGCCATCCCAGCAGTCCACTCTCCATACACCTAGACAGATTTGATGTGTGTGTGTGTGTGTGTGTGTGTGTGTGCGCGCGCGCGCGCGCGCGCGCGCGCACTCGCGCGCGCACACACAGAGACACACATGCACTCTCGCATGAAACTAGAGATGTCTCAGTAGGCCTGAAGCATTCCCTGTTTTCACTTCCACTCTATCTTTGTTTGGATAATAGTTTCATGTTCATCTTTCGAGCTTCGTTTTTGTACTATGGTTTCTGATTTGGCAACATCCCTTTTTTTTTTTTTCTTTTGGTTTCTCAAGACAGGGTTTCTCATGCAATAATCTTGGAACTCTGTTTGTAGACCAAGCTAGCCTTGAATTCACAGAAATCCGACTGCCTCTGCCTCTGCCTCCCGATTGCTGGGATTAAAGGCATGTGCCACCAGTGCCAGGCAAGGCAACATTCTTTTAGCACAATGGATCCTGGCTCTCCTCTCATTTCTCGGTGCATCTGAGCTGGTTCTTCTGCTCCCAGCAACAGGCCTACTTGCATCTCTCTGGGGTCAGAGCCGCCTTTTCCTTTTGTGTCTTTGTTCATTTCTTTATCTCAAAGACTCTTCCTTTTCCCTTTACGCAGCATATGCAGGTGCATCATTTCCTCTGCGAAGGTCTTTTGAGATAACCCAGATGGAATGAGCTACAAAGGAAGAGAAAGCCAAGAGCAGGGGGAGGTGGTAGGGGCCATAAATACAGTTGCCTGTGATTTTAATACATGGGTTCTCTGATACCAAATGCAGGTAAAAGTGCAATGGGCCCTGAGTACAGAAAGGAAGTGCTTCTGGGAACAAACAGCAGTAAACACACAGGTCTGGAGGAGAAACAAAAAAGCTTTGCCTTCTATTAGAGGCCAAGGCTGACCACAGGCCCTGACAAAGCCCTCAGCCTTGTTTCTTAGCCAGATTAGAGTCATCAAAAGGTTTTAATTAAAAACCACAGTAATACCAGGTTCTGTCTGCTATAGAAACACAGTCCTCTTTGTTCACCTTGGTCTAGTCCAGTACTTTAAAACAAAACTGTCCCACAAAGGTCTAGTCTGTAAAAATCTAGACTGTAGGAAGCATAATGGGACAATCTGGTTTATAGTTAACTTTCAAGAAAGAAAAAAGTAAGCTGCGGGTTACTTTTCTTTTTCTTTCTTTGCTTGTTTCTCTTTTCAAGATATGGTCTCACCATGTAGACTTGGCTGTCCTGGAACCTGACATGTAGACCAGGTTGTCTCAAACTCACAGAGATCTGCCTGCCTCTGCCTCCCTGGGGCTGAGACAAAAGATGTGGGCCACTATGCCTGGCCCTGTAGTTACTTTTCTATTGCTGTAACAAAACACAGTGACCCAAGCACCTTAGAGAAGAAAGCATTTACTTGGGCTCATGGTTTCAGAGGATTGCAGTCCTTGATGGCAGAGCACAGGCATGGTGAGACAAACAGCAGCAGACTTGATCCTCAAGCAGGAGGCAGAGAGCTAACTGAGAAAGTCTAGGTTTTTGAAACTTCCAAGTCTATCCCCAGTGGCACACCTCCAACAAGGCCGAACCTCCTAATTCTTCCCAACAGTTCCAACCAAGTATTCAAACATACGAGAATGTGAGGTCCATTCTTGTTCTGAATGAATGTAAAAATGGCTCCACTTCATCTTGACTTAAGGTCAGAGAGCTCAAACTACTATTGCTCTTCCAAGGTGAAATAACCAGGATGCCTGGCCTAACATGTGAATGTAAGAGGATACTTGACCTAAGGTGTGGTCACTGCATGTCCTGCCAATACCACAGAATAATTAACTCAGGATGTAGTTATTTGATGTCTCCGGTATTGAAGAGGTAATTACTCTGTCTGTTCCTTGTATTATTGGAAAGGAAGTCTTTTGCCTTCTCCCCCTCTTTTGATGGGGGTATAAAATATCTTTGAATGAATAAAAGCTTGGCACTGATTCTGGAATTCACCAGATGCCCTCCTGACTTTATCTCCTGTCTCTTGCCTACTCCTTTCCTCAATCCACATTCCCCCTCTCAGGTCTGCTGCATCTGACAGGTAGGTGCCCCTGCAAAGTGGGTTACTCCATATTCTCGTTCAACACCACTGCTGTGCATAACGAGATGTACAGAAACAAATGGACTGTGCTGTGTAAGACACGTTTCATTCCTGATCTGCAGAGACAAGTTTAAAAAAAAAAAAAACTTACACTGAACATGGTGGCACATGCCTTTAATCCTGACACACAGGAAGTAGAGGCAGGAAGATCTCTGTGTGTTTGAGGCCAGCCTGGTCTACATAGTAATTTCCAGGATAGCCAGAGCTATGTAGAGAGAACTTGTCTCAAAAAAAAAAAAAAAGTAAATAAATAAGTATTTAAAAAAAAATACAAGCCGCTAGTAGTGGTGCACGCCTTTAATCCCAGCACTTGGGAGGCAGAGGTAGGTGGATCTATGAGTTTAAGACTAGTCCTGGCTACAGAGCTACAGAGTTCCAGGACAGCCTCCTAGGGAGAGGAAACTGTCTCAAAAACTTTTAAAGAGAATCCGTTCCAACTGTGGGTGAGGATGTTGCAATCACCAACTATTGACAGTAGATGGCGCCAACAGCCTAGACCTAAACAATGATATTTCTGGCCATTTGAACTCAAATACCTTTGAAGACATTGATTTATATGTATTTGTTTTATTTTATTTAGAGACCTTGTCTGGCTATTTAGCTAACGCTGGTCTCAAACTCCTAGGCTCAGGCAATCTTCCTGCCTCAACCTCCTGAGTAATTTGGATTACCGTGAATGCCACAATGCCTGTTACAAACTAGAAATGTACAACTGGCGGAATTTGGTAAAGGCTACAAGCAGGATTGAAGGGCTTCAGAGTTCCAGCACGACTGTTGCATGGACATAACAAAGAATGCGTTCGTGTGAACTGTGATTGTCTGTGTTTTATGAAAAGGCGCATTGAGCTAAGAGGTTATCCACAAGCCATCTACAAGAACAGAGGGAAGCAATTAAACTCTCTCACATCTGTCATCAGCGCAATCGAAGGCAACGGTTCTCGACCGTTACCAAAAAAAAAAAAAAAAAAAAATCCATGGTAAATACAGATATTTACGTTACAATTCGTAATAGTAGCAAAGATTACAGTTGTGAAGCAGCAAAGAAATAATTTTATGATTGGGGTCACCACAACATGAGGAGACTATATTAAAGTATCGCAGCGTTAGGAAGGTTGAGAATCACTGCTCTAAGGCAACAAGAGAAGAGGCAAAATGTGTGTCCCTGCTTCGGAGGAGGACAC